TTTCAATATTTACTTCAACTGCACTTTTCAGGGTGTCGAACAATCCAATTCAAGCAAAATAAAGAAACAAATAAAGCATTATTAAATCACGTGATCAAAAACGTCACAGTCGAGAGAGAAGCATTATGTATGCACAGCTGCTTCATGAGCCCGCGTTGTGTCTCAATCAATATTGGGCCTTCTTTCTCTTCTGCAAAGTTATTATGCCAGCTGAACTCCGCTGACCGTTTCCAGTATCCACAAGACTTCCAAGATAAACCTGGCTTCTCATACAATGGTGTTGAAAACGTAAGCAAACAAATTTTTGATAAGCAAAATGGTGGAAACTATGACTTTTTTACTGTGTTAAATTTATCTTTATACATAACTGTTTCTTTAGAAACACCGACGCAGCTCACACTAGTTTGCCACCAGGTGAGACAACTTACTGACGTTATATAATTCATCTCTTTACTCCGACGAAGGATTAACGTCCGAAACGTCAGTAAGTTGTTTCGCCTAGCTACTTTTTTTACGGTGTTAAATTTACACAACTGAAAATTTTAATGCGCCCTAAACTAATACTTCAGTCTCGTCCTTCAAAGACCCATCGCTATTTTGAAAGGCAGGCTATAAATCGAGGCACGGTAACCTTTGGGAACTGATTTAATTTAACCATAGTTTGTTGTGCAATCTTTAAGGGGTTAAAAATCATGGATAATTTTATATTCGTCGTTTTAGACAATTATTCACGACATCTATGAATTCAAGTTCAACCACTGCTTTCTTGCTTTGAGGCTATAGCTTTTTTTCTAGATTTCGTTCGTTTTTGATCGATTGGCTATATATAACTCATCATTGTTTGCGCAGTTCGGTCAATTGGCAAGCTTATTAACGCCGACCATCTTCCTTATGCTGTATAAATATTATATATGCTGTCAATATGGCGCTGGGACTCTGTAAAACTGACATTGTATTTTATTTTTGTTAAAGAACCAATGCTCCTCTAATCCTTGCTCAAAGCATGGTGTTTGTCTACATGGTTACGGGAACCAGTATCAGTGTGAATGTCATCATGGATGGACTGGGAAAAACTGCTCAAATATAGGTATATTAATTAATTGATGCGATACCCACGACTTCATATTCAATTGGACGAAAATTGCGAAACATTAGAAAAGACTTGGAAATCAAATAGACCTATCCATATGGGTCTAATA